AGTCTCACACCATATCTAAAACTGAGAGAAGTGAGTGTCAGGCAAGAAGGGGTAGTCACAATATGAAAAATTGACGGAAAAGGGCTATTTGGAAGGAAAGCTTGGTGAGGAAGCGGTTACTTGGATACGCCATAATGGGATTTGTAACAATGCTGGCGAGTAGGTACCTTGCTCTAGAATGATAAATTTTGCATGGGAATTTAAAGGCTTGTATGTAGTGTTATTTGACGGTTATTTAAGTTAAAATAGTGACCTGCCCGAAGATTATTTCCTATTTGAGGCATAGTTGGAATCTTAGCTGGTAATGTAGACCCTCTTTAACCTAGTTGATACAATGCAACTGACCTATTTGATAGGCATGAAGTTAGAATAAATCTTGTGTGAGCATCAAAATAGTCTGATCTCATTATTTCATATTTTTTATAATTAGGGTTTCGATTCTTCCAGTAAATCAGATATATGAGATTTATTCACCCTATTTCGCTTAAGCTAATGAAGGGCTGGTAGGTGAATTTCTCCACAATGATGAGTAAAACTGACGCTCCTTTTAAATTTCGTATAGTCTTGCTTTCCCATAAGGCGGTCTTATCCAGTTTCCACCTCGCTTGGGTCATATCAACACCCTCTGCGGGTGAATGTGCCGAGATTACACACTGAACTGTCATGGTTCGAGTCCTGCATCAGTTCTACTCACATCATTGTGGAAAAATTCACCTACCAGTCCTTCATTACGTTAAGCGAAATAGGATGTTTACATCTGATAGGACCTCACTTTCACAAACTGGTCGTTTTGTCGCGGCAGCCTCGTTGGACTCACTGTGTCCAAAGTCATCTGCTACAATGGTTATGATAAGTCCCTTGAGTAAGAGGTATACTGCGACTGAAACAGAATGAAATCAGTCAACCAGTAAGATAAGAAATAAAGTTCCGTGACCATGAGGGAGATTCGGATCCAAGTCATGTCAGCAATGCTGGTAAATCGAGATGGAAACGAGCGAGGTAAACATGCGATACGCCACACCAAATAGCCAAAAAGGGCACAGCTCTAGAGGGGTCGAATATAAGCAAGTCAGAAGTTGTGTTAGGGTGGGTGTGAAAGCGAGGATAGGGAGTAGGTAGATATTTCAGGACAGAAGAATTGACAGTACTACAGTTTGGCAGAAAGTTGGTCAAAGGATTGTCTTCATTCGTCTGTTGACGAATGGTAGCTTGGTGGTAGACGAACATCCCTAACTGAAGAGTCCGGCAAAACGTCTGTGAAAGTACCAAGTCCATGGTCAACACTGTGAATTATTATAATTCAGTAAATCAGATATGTAAGTTGTGTTCACACCATTTCGTTTAAGGTGATAAAGGACTGGTAGTTGATTTTCACACTGCCGTTTTGACCCCGCATTCATCTCCTGCTTAGGGTGTTGATAAGACGCATGTGAGGTCGAAACTACAGTCCACTGGTGACTGGATGAGAACCCCTTTTGGGTATGCAAGTCTATGTGAAAGTCAATGTAAACGCCACCTCTACTCATATCATTGATGGAAAATCAACTACCAGTCCTTCATTAGCTTAAACGAAATATTTTGAACACAACTCCTATTATACTTACTACAGCAGAGGGTTTCGGACATGGAGCGTCCTACAGGGTAGCCGTGGCTACGAGGCCAGACAACTTCTATACAGCAAAAGTAGTTCATGTATAACAAGAAATGTCATTTGGAGCAAAATTGCTCGGATTTGGGGCAAGAGCTTGGGCTGAGCTGAGGCCATCCCAGGGCAGACAAGTAGTAGAGATGCCAACAACTGGAATCTGGATATGTTGGCCAATGTTGTGTATGCTTGACTGTCCTCCTTCTCTCCTACTGGCAGATGAAATGGACCAGCAACTACTGTCACCCGAAATCCGGCATTACGCCCACGATTCACAGAACTGACTCGTCGCATCCGGTGCGAAGTCAGCCGCAGAAAAGGCCGGAAAGACAGAACTTCCACGAAATTGTGGCGATCCCCCGTCTAGTCACCGTCAGCTTCAAGGTGGAGCCCAGTTGCCGTAATACAGGCCTTGTTTATGGAGGTTGTGCTGGGACGTCTTTGACGCCCCTAATCCAGTGATGTGTGCTGTTTTGCAAGCAACTGGCCCATTTCACACAGTCCGTATGGCCGGTTGCTCGAGTCGTGAGGAGTGGGACAGCAGAAATGAGGTGGGCTTCGCAGCAGACACGCAACTCCTGCCCGGTTTGCATCCGTTTCAGGCCTGTCTCGATGCAAGCAGGAATTGACAACTGTTTGCATATTCTGCTTCCGGCTCAGGCAGCAGTAATGAAATCCATGGTGTCATTTCTTTCATTTCGTGCAAAAATGGATGGATTTCGTGATAATATTCACTGGAAAATGAAGAATTGTCTTGTAGTTGTGACTGCGCGACACCAACCACACATACTTGTCTCAAATCTGATCATAAATCGAGACCATCATTTGAGAGCGTCCCAGAGAACAATAAATCTAATTGTTTTTTCTTAATGATATTGGTTTAATGATTAAATTATGAATAAAATTGATAAGTTGGTTTAAAGACTGATATATTAGAAGTGTCCACAATTAAATTAGTAGTGATTGTCAATGAAGCAGGCTTGTATTTGCAATTACGGTTGAACTCAATTTTTTTCAACAAAGGTAGTTTCGAGACTATTAAGTTGGAGAATAACTCAACAATTATGGTTTCGCTCACTCGAATTAAACATATAAGATACGCATCAGTAACCAGCGCCGCCTCAATTCGTAAAGTGGTAATCAGGAATCGTTTCCACGTCTCACGCTCCATCTTCTTCGCGATCAGTTACCAATATTTATACGAAAAGTTGGGTTTCGAGGAGTCTCTTGTTTCATAATTGTGGACCCTACTTCCATTTCGATTGAGTGTTTGGTGAAGAGGTTCGAAGGTCTATTCTACCAGATGTTAATTTTGCTGTCCTAATTACTTTGAGCCATCACTGCTGGTTTCGTGCATAGGCGAACACATACAGGCACATACACATACACAGAGACAGAGACATTCACATGCTTCAAGGTTGACAAATCACTTTATACCTCATCAAATAGGTCAGGCATAGAGTATATATACAACTTTTTAGGGATGTGCTGGTGAGTTTACTTGACTCGTTAGCTTGAATTTGAATGTAGGGATGATACACTGCTCTGATGATGTTCGTCATATGACTGACGAAAGCTTAGCACATTTACACCGGAATCGAAGGAGATTACCTCGAAAACAGCATCAACATGAATGTCCAGAAAGGCCAATCGACAGCTGGTCGAGAGAAATCCATTGTCGCCTTTTGGTGGAATCGACCTCCGCTTCGCTTCACCAAACACGTTTACTCCAAATGGAAGTGGGCTCAACATATTCAATACTACTGATCGTCATTTTTAGTATTTAGCCTAGATACGAACTATCATAATGTATTATAATAGGCGACAGCAAGGCTAAGCTGTTGTGGCATCGATGTGGCTCGCAGTCCTTTTTCGCTACCCAAAAATTGGCTCGACCCAGGTTTCCAAACTTGATGCTTCTATCAGGATAGAGTTTGTCAAAAGTCCTCTCCTATAGCTATGATGTTAATTTACATCTTCAAACTGTAGAATTAATACATTCTACCTATTTCACTGGCACCGCGCTCGGCATCCTTAGTGAGTTTCGTCATTCTTAGCAAAAAAATGGATAGAGGGAAATAAGAAACATCGGAGCACATTGTACAGACTGGAAATGAGATCATCAGAAAGGCAACAGAACAAAACGCCTCATACGGAGAAAGTAGAAGAAAACGGAACATTATGGTGACTGTCAATTTGTTTTGTGGAAGAAATATAATGAAGAGGAGATTGGAAAAGGGCAAGATTAGGGATAGCTCTGCTTATTGCTTAAGCAAACTGGGAGCATATAACACAATCAACAAAAAATAAACGCCGGATCACGGATGTATGGGTAACCAGAGGGAAGTGTTGAGGACGGTGACAAATATTTGTAAACGAGTAAATTTTTGCGGTAAATGTATTAAACTCGAGTAGACAATCCA